GTCAATAAAAAATTTAAATTTATAAAATTATAATTTGACCCCAAATGACCTAAAGGTGATCTAGAAACCGCCTATTGGACCACCGGTGAAAGAATGTTGAAAGTTCGTGTACTTTTGTGAAAGAAATTAAAGTTTATATACCGAAGTGAAATAATGATGAAAGTTCATATATCATGGGTGAAATTTACCTTCTTAACCTAGCTATCACATTATATTTTTTACTAATAATCTACCATCACATTCTACGTTTATCTATCACATTAAGAGTATTTTTGAAAAGTCAATACAAAATTATATCTCTTAAATTTTTTTTAAAATCAAAACGAGAACACTTTTATGTGAGTGAGAAAGTAACAAATAATTCTTCGAAATTAATCCGGAGTTTGTACTTCATTGATTGCAATCATACTAAAATGCTTTTGGGTCTCGTATTTTTTTATATCCTCGAACGATTTTTTTAAACTATATACCCGCTTTTGTATTACGGAGTAATAGTTAATATGGAGTTTTCTTTTTCATTTGATTTTTTTTGTCAAAATTTGTTAACTATGATTGTTATATATTGCATCGGATATCGCAAAAAGTCAAATATTTTTTATAAAAAATATATGTAAAATTGACATTTAACTTCAAATGTCTAAAAAAAGTAGATGTCTACATTCAAATGAAAGAATTATTTTGGCTTGGTTTGGGTACATGTGCTATATCGATGTTGTTTTCATTAACTTCTTTAATAATGTAAAAAAAGGGAAGAAATCTATATCCGAAGGCCCATTCAGACCAGCCGAACGATAATTGAAAGAAAGTAAGTTGAACTTTAATTACAAATTAGTGGCAAAAGTGAAGTTTGTATTGGTATTTACTGATGTCTTATGCTTAGGATAGTTACCTTCTAACGCAGTTGTCAGAAATCGAATTCGGGTCTTACCCCTTGGCACTCTTTGTCTTTGCTAACTACGCACCCCCGGCAACTTTTTTTTAATAATGCAAATTACATTCGAGAAATTTATAAATAAAAGCTATGTTTATATTGCATTTTCAACATATTAAATTGACCATTGAGTCTATTATTAAATGCGAAATGCTAGAGTCATAATTACAAATTAAAGATCACAAAATATGCTCCGTATGATTTTATTATTTGTGTACTTATTAAGAGAGTAAAATGATTTTAAATAATTTAAATAAAATAATAAATCAAATATCCAACAATAGAGCTTTTATGTTGTTTTTTTTAATCTCTGGTGGGATCCATATGAGATGTTAGAATTTTGCTTATGTTTAAATAGAGCTTTTATCTTGGTTTTCTTTATTGGTGTGGTTTCAAATTTCAATCCTCTTTAGTATCACAACTGTACCAAATTCGAGTGCTATTGAAAATATTCCCTATTCTCTTGCCCTGCATATACTGTTATTGGTTTGATTTATAAAGTGCTCCATAAAATATAAAATTAAAATTAATTTCTTTTTTAAAGAAAATTCCGTTACTGGAATTTTAAAGTTTTATGTTATTCTCCTCAATCAATTATATCCAATTTAAACGGTTGTCCACTTAAAGGAGAGTATTAGGATCGATAGTCAATTGAATTTGATCTTTTGAAATTGTTTATTTTAAGTTTCTTATGACTAATTCTAATTATCTTATCAATTAAGAGATGACTTGACTTTTTAATTTCATTAAATGACAATAGGTAAGAAAGGAGATAAAGTTTAACCATATAAAAGGTGCTTATAATCTTCCGTCCCGTAATTGACTCCAAAATCAAAATTAACTTTGAGTGTATAATTAAACGTGGTGGGGGCGTGTTTGGGTCGGGACAGGACGGGAGTTTACCAAGGAGTCAGAGGGGACAGGAACCGTCAATTATACAAACGGATGGAGTGCCGGAGCACACTCGAGTCATTCCATGACATTGCCGAGCAATGTCACGAGAACCACCACGTTTGGAAATACATGCAAATTATGTGCTTTTTAAACTTTTATTTATTTACAGACACAAATTGGCATACAAATGAATAATATCGAAGTAAAACTTACATATTAAAAAGTACTTTAAAAATTCTACTCCCTCCGTCCCAATTTAAATCGCCTGTTTTGACTTTTGGACATATTTAAGGAAAATAAAAAATAGAGTTGATTTTCCGAAATTGACATTACTTTTTAGGAGGGGTGATGATGATTGAGAATATAAGGTGAAGAAGTGTGACTTATTTTAGGGGTAGTTTAGGTATTTTATTTTTAAAAGTTTACGAAAACAACTAGCAGACAACTTATTTTGGGACGGAGAAAAAAAGCAAACAGACAATTTAAAATGGGACGGAGGGAGTACATAATAAGAAATAACAAGAACATTAGCAAAAGACCAAAATAATAGAGAGTAACAATCTAAATTATTTTGAGAGTAATTGAAAATAGTACGGAGTAACATGAGTATTTAAAAGTAAAAATTAAATAGGGGAGTAATTAAATTTTCTTTAAAAGTTTACTACTTAGCGGAGTACATTAATTTTTTACGGTCACATTCTTACAATTTTTACTACTATAACTACCTAGTTCATAAGATTTAATTAAAGGCACATTTGGTCGTTTTTAGTCAAATTATACCCTACTTTGAGCATCTCCAACCTTGTTCACTATATTGGCTTGCTATTTTTATATTTTAACTAGTGAATAGTGATATAGCAAATGACATTTTGATTCATTCTCCAACCATGACTTGCTAATCCATTTTACAACTTTTGGCTTCCTATAATTTGAAGAGCTTGTTATATTTAACAAACTAAAGTTATTTTTTGACAAGCTTGCTAAAGTTTAACACGCCCATTGGAGAAGAGATAAATGAGTTGACTTGCTATATTATGGCTTTTAGCAAGCCAAAGCAAGATGGTTGGAGATGCTCTTTGATCACAAATTTAAGAGAAGTATATATTTTGTAATAATACCCGAGTATTATCTTAATATAATCGAGTCATTTTAAAATGTACTTTATATGTCAAATTAGTTAATATAACACTTATTTAAAACAATCTATAATGACCAAAAGCATGACAATGTTTGACTTAAATACGTACACTTTCTCCACACTTGAAGAAGGGATTGGAAACAAAAATAAATCTGTCACATAATTTGTCTTATTTGATGAATAAATACCAACAATACTTGGGGACTTCATTAAGGTTTGGTTGTAAACTAACATCCCATTTGGCATTTGGCTTTAAACCTTTTCAGGAAAAGTATATAACGACCGTCTTTAGTTTTAACAATACCTTTCAAAATTGTAACACGTACCACGAACATTGCTCCCAAACGAACCATTATTGTGCTTGGTTTTAACCCATTCGTGGAGTACTCCGTATACTTCAGTCAGCCTTTGGGTCATCAATTCGCCGGATTGCGGTTCCCAACCAATCCTCAGGAATTTTGCCTCTCAGGCTACCATCCAAGGCTTGGAGTGAGTGGTCAGTTCCAACCTAGAACACACAAAACAAGTCCCTAAGTTTTGTTTCTTCTTTTTCTACTTAAATAAAGGTAAATTTGTTGTCAATAATACCAAGTTTGTGCAGTCTTCGGAAAATGATTTCTAAATTTTGGTCCGATCCAGTCCAATAGTAGAATTACTAGTCCAAAGGGGTCTGGTCAGATCAAATTTTTTTCAAAAAATAAAGGCTCACGGCGTTAGAATGCAGATCATTCTTGGTCTACCGATGCAAACTTTGGACTATTTTTAACAACATTTAAACTTGAAATTGTTTCTTGAAGACTGCTCAGACTTGGAATTGTTTGCAGCAAATTTTCGTAAATAAAAACAAAAAGGCTAAGTCTAATGCCAAAAACAATTGGCACCTTCACAATGTATACATCAATTCCCAGTATTGCAATCATTGCAGCCTCAGATATTTTGGTAACCATACCCCCAGTTGTGTCATGGGAGGCCACTGTAAATTCTGATTCCAGGGGAAGAAGATTTTCACAAGTTATAATCTTAAGCAGGGGCAAAAAATGTAACAATTTTCTCCTGCTAAATGACATTTATGGAGTAACTATGGCCCTATTGACAATACCTGGAACGCTTGTTCTTAGTGATGCCGGCTTCAAAATACACCAGCTCCCGTCTTCACGCACAGCTGTATAAGTTGATTTGTTATTGCACACCAGCATAGCAGACCCAGTATATATAATTGTATATAGAAAAGAAATCTTCAAATATTATTGTGATTATTCGGTCATCGTTTGCTTGAATTAACATCATTCAAAAGGGCAAAATTGCGAACATAATCTGTCTAAAACCAGCTTAGAAGGCAAAAAAAAGGTCAACTTTGAGCATCCGAACAGAAATATATACAAACTGTAATGTTTAAATGAAACTTATGAAACAACGTCTCACCAATTTCTCTCAGGAGTTTAGCCTCAGGGTCTGTTGGGGGGCGGTCATATACGCCATTCACATCTGTCTACAGGTTGGTTAAACATCAAGGAGAAAATGGAACCATGACGGTGAAATTGGACTCGCATCAATGATTAGGAAAGAACCAATCTCAAATACTGGAAATTGGGAGGATACAAGAAAAACAACGTATTCTGGCTTCAATTTTGCTGCCAAATAGCGTACGATCACATCTCCACTCAATATGGTGCATTCCTGAACATGTAAATGAATCAAAGTCCAAACCGATGACCGTGTAAACTGACCAATTAATATACATTCTCCATTGAAGACTAAACCTGCGAACTATCGAGTACTGCATCTCCATGTAAAACCTGAACATCAAGGAACAAATACTACGTAACTATTATACCTTTGTCCAAGAGGACACTGTTATGGCATTGAGGGAGTAAAAATTACTCCCATGTCCCCAAATTAAAGTTA